CTATATTAATCATATTCACATTTAACAAACATTTTACACTTTTTTATAAAAAATGTTTAAATTAATTTACAAAAATAATAATTATACAACCTTATATAGTTAAATATTTGAATTAAAAAAATAATAATTATATAACCTGATAAAAGAAAAAAATGAAAACATACTTGAAAGTGAATTAAGTTACGAATTATAATTACAATAGCTGTGAAATTCTTTAACCAATATAAACATACTATATGTTGAAAAATGTATTCGAACATAATGTCAAATAAGTAAATAAATAATATTCGAATAAAACGTCAAAATAAAAAACATTAATAAATTTACTTGAAGAAAATGTTAAAAAGATTAGAAAAAATAATTTGAGCAAAATGTTAAAAAATGTTAGCATATATATATATATATATATATATATATATATATATATATATATATATATATATATATATATATATATGTATGTATATGTATATATATCAATAAATTTAAATAAATCCAAATCCTTAAATATATAATGAAAATAAAAAAATAATAAATAATAGAGAAAATTACATAAATGGTCCCTGTGGTAGAAACATATTACATAAAGCATCCTTATGCATGAAGGGCAAATATGTCATTTCACATAGGACTTAACTGAAAAAGTTAACGCCGTTAGTCAAAAGGACTGTCTTTGCAAGATTTTGAAACCACAGGGACCATCTGTGTAAAGAATTCGTCATAAGGACCATAATTGGTCAATTTTGTCAACCATGAGGACCATTTATGTAATTTTGTATGTATATATATATATATATATATATATATATATATATATATATATAATTATATATATTATATATATATATATAAAAGGTATTTATTAGAAAATGTTTATATATGTAATGTATTCCATACATTAAAGTCTCATTAATTTTAATAATTCAAAAATTTTCTCATTTTTCTTATAAATTTAAAATTTCCAAATTGGTAAAATTTTATATTTAATTTTTTTTTTTATAAATAAAGTATTTAATAAAATAATCCATGGTTATTATTAGAGAGAGGGAGGGGGATGAAATAAAAAAGTGGTAATGGTAGTTTTAGTGGAAGGGGGACGATATATGGTGAATTACCATTTATAGTGGTGGTGGTGATCTCAGATCAATCTTCACTCTAATTTCTCAAATATGCATAGACAAGTAGATGTAATTTCAATGCCACTGGGACATATTATGTTGATCAAACTGCCAACCGAACCGCACATGTTAATGCTATCGGATCCCTTCTGATGGATTATAATGACTTTTTAACATGTAAAATTGGACTCTAAGCCCCTAGACTACTAAAATGCAAAGATAAATGAGCTTTTTAGATAGAATATAAGAGTAAAATATTATAAAATTAAACGCATGCTTATTAAAAACATTATCGGCTGCCTACGATAGATAATACATTGGTTTATCCAATGGATTCTTGATCTCTACCAAGGGAATTTTCAGCATAGAACTCAACCTACTTATGAATCGGGAGAAACGGTCGAGGTGATTAATGATCACATGAAATCACATGATCTAGTTCAGAATTTCTAACTACAAAATAAGCAATTCTATAACGTAAATTAAATAACAAAACCGAAATTTTACAACTACAATAACCAATTTCACCCCAACATAGAGATCAAATGAAGTGTGCATATTGTGAGTACCACAAAACGAAACCCACACAACACCAAAAACTAAAAGACAACATGAATTGAACCTGTGCGCAGCATTTATTCTTTTTTTAGTTTTCAACGCTAAATTAAAAGTTTAAGATGTCTTGGTTCCCTATAATTGGCCATTAATATGTTTTTTGTCGTATGAAGACCCCACCAAGCATAATAATATTGTAGCCATTGTGCATATTATTGTTTGAATCAGCCACTTGTGAAAGCTTCAGATTACTCCAAAAACATCAACAAGATGGAACCAGAAAATGAGCACATGGAAGATGAAGAAAGTATGGAGGTTGCAAAGCGCAAGAAGCTTGGTGGGATCAAAACCCTTCCCTTTATCCTTGGTATGTATATTCAAACCCGACTCATATTTCATGATCTATTAAAGCTTCTAGCGATCGAGTATGTAATATATTAAATCTGGTATCCATACTCACAAAACAACCTTGAAACTCATGCGACAACACAAGTTTAGATATGAAGGAATTGATTGATGGTTAGGTCCAACAGGGTAGAGAAACACAGCGGCAGAGAAATAGTTGTTTGATTGCTAGATTGAAATAGCAATCGATGCACAAATCACAATGGATTGGATGATATGACTTAATTAATCCAATAAGTTATATACTTAGTGTATTTTTTTTTCTTAATGTATAAATAACAACTTAAAAAGATAAGTCAAGATATGAATCATCTATATACACATATATTCTTTTTTCCGTTATATTCAATGGGTTATTCACTTTTCAATTAATTTTATTTAAGTATATCCCTATTTATAAATTTATAATTAATTACATTCGGTACATACATATTTATATAAAAAGCAATTATTAGTTATATCAAATGTTTAAAAGTTCGTACAAAATATTTTTTATTTAAGTATTTTATCATTTTATAATTCAATGTTACTTTTAAGGCATTTTTATTATTTATTACATAGCAAATTCATATCTACGACATTGACCATAGAATTTGTTAATTCGACATAGTAAATAGTGGGTGATTAATTTTAAAAATTAAAAAAAAAATTAAAAAAAAAATTAAAAAAAAAAAAAAAAAAAAAAAAACCTACTTTATTTAGTGACCGTTTTCTTGTTCCCGTTAATTCGCAATGAATAGTGACTTATTGAAGAAAAGTTAATATGCATGAATTTATCATCTCAATAAAAGGTTGTATGCATGAATATATTTATTTTTTGAGATTATAGATGGACACATTAATTAAAAAGTTAATTGTTAAATAAAAAATTAATTGATAGCTAAAAAATTAGTTGATAAAAAAACAATGTTTGATAAAATTACCTGAAATATATAAAATGATATTTTAAATGAATGTGTATATATAATTAATTAGGGTGTATATTTGAAAAAAAAAACTCTTCTAAAAAGACAATCTAAATAACTTTTTAAAAAGCTAGCTTATAATCTACTTTTTAACTTATCATATAAAAAAAACTCGAAAAATAAGATAGATATGACGCATCAAAGATAACCTAAATGACTTTTTTACATATATTTCACCAAATAAATTAAGGTCCGATATATTTCTTGTAAAATATTATTAAGAAAATTTCTTATCGAGACAAAAAAAAGTGCACTAGTTTTTAAAAATCAAGATTTTATAAAAACAAAAGTGATAATACCTTTTTTATGTTCTTTTTTTAATGATAAAACATTATCAAAATTTATAGTTTTATTTTTAAATGCATTTTGCTTCGCTAAATCGATTCTTCGTTATGATGATATTTTGACGCTTTTCTTTATGATATATCAGAGTGAACTAATAATCTCACTCTTACTATATCCTTCAAAACTAAAAGCATGATGTTTTTCATATAATTTAATTTGAACGTATAGCCGAATACACTTTCAAAATTTGACTTATGCTTTTGGGCTGTAGTTTTATATACATATCGGTGTCAAATCTTAATTAATATTGATAACATATTTTAAAAATAAAAAAAATAAGAAAAATAAGAAAAATAAAAAAAATAAAAAACAAAAAAACTATTGTTAATAATATAAATGAGATTTGTAAGATGTAATTATATTTTAACTAACATATTATTATTATTTTCTTTTAAATTTTTTTAGTGGTATAGTATTAAATAAATTTCTTAATCGGATACCCTTTTATAATTAGAGGCCTCATGTGACCGCACGATCCACAAGGCCTATGGATGAGTAGTGGAACATGGTATCCGTTTACGGAACCGTAACCGCCTCAGTTCCGGAATTGAAATCGCCTTAAGCGGTTTCAATTCCGGTTCTCATTTTTACGGAACTACTAGGTACCAGCCGGAACCGACATATATATATATATAATATATATATATATATATATTATATATATATAATATATATATTATATATATATATAATATAACTTCAAAAATGGTCCCTGTGGTTTTCAAAAATATCAAGTTTAGTCCCTAAGTTCAAAAAACCTCACAGATGGTCCCTGTGGTTTCAAAACTTTTAACATTTGGTCCTTCCGGCTAACTCCGTTACCATTTAGCCGTTAAGTAAGGGGTATTTTTGTCATTTCACAGCCCAGGGACTATTTATGAGGTTTTGTATTACTTTTTTTAAAAATAAATAAATAAAATTTAATATGCAAGGGTCCCATCTCTCTCTCTCTATCTCTCTCTCTCTCTCTCTCTCTCTCTCTCTCTCTCTCTCTCTCTCCTCTGTAAGTTGTATAAAATTCCTACCCTAATTTGAAAATACAAAGGTTTTTCACTCGTAATGCCCTATCATTCCATACTCTTCCATCGATCAAATATGTTTTCATTTTCGCCTTCGTCACCACCAAATTCTACCACCGGTTCCTCTGGTAAACACTCTGATCCCCATCTCATCCTTCTCTTCCTCCCTCATCATAGCCTGAAGGTGGATCTTTAGTCTTAGACAATCTCCTTCTTTCTTTCGTCAACATGTCAAATCCAGATCGAGCATCATAAAAAGGGTAGGACCTCACATTCTGATTTTAATGGATTTCCATTCCATTAACTTCTTATATGCCCTTTCTTTAGGTTCAGTGATGAGGGAAACAAATGGTGGTGGAGAGCGCTCAGCAAGAGCAGCTCCTGTTAATGGTGGTGTTACAAATCACGAAAATGCCCTTAGGCAAAGCAGGGGATGGAGGTGCTGGTAGTCCCTATTAGGATTTTAGTGCTGCCTTTTGAAGCTTCCCGAAGCTCTATGGGTATGCTATTTCCAGTGGTCACTGAAGAAGGAGCTTTTTTGTACAGCTCATTCCCGAACTTAGGCTTGGACTTTTCTGAAAATTTCCACAATTTCACGTTACCTTGGTCCAAGAGTTTTGTACGGAAAGGAATGAGGGTCCGGAAACTACAGAAACTACAGAGTACCTCGTTGAGAAATTATGATTCAACCAATCATCATCTTCCAGATGCTCCAGACCTTCATCAAAATTGAGCAAATAACTAGCCCGATCGTACTGGAATTTGGCGTGCGGACGTCGTTGCTTGTTAAACCGACGGATAAACGTCTTCAATTTCGGAACGGCGACAAGCACCGACCACTCTTTAATCTTCTTAAATTGTGATAATCCCTTGGACCACCACCGATTATCGTAAGCTTTTCCGTCGTCTGCGGTCCCTAGCCACCAGTTCGGCTCTACGGAAAATGTAAATCGATCGCAATGAATACACGACATCCAGAAACAATATCTTTTCTCGGGGAATGAGACCTCATCAATTAATTCTTCATCGATACCGGAATGAGACGTCTATCTCGGTCTTCAGTATTCCTGTTCTTGTTTCTTGAATACCCTTGTCGATTTTGTCTTGAAAAGTCTGGGTTTCTTCTTGAACATCGATTTTGTGTTCAGAAAGTACTACTTTGACATCAAGAATCTTACCAGGGACGCCATGAGATACGAAATGAGACACCGACAACATTTGGTCGTGTAAAGAGGTTTTTGGGGATGTAGGTTGGTACGCTGTGGTGGTTCTCGATTAGCTTTGCTGGTGTTGGACGAAGAAGGACAGATTCAATTGGTTGTGGCGGTGATCAAATGGGAGGCGGCGACATTTCGAGATATATTCT